GTGTGTGCCCCCAATCCCGCCAGCGGCTACTGCTCTGCTGTGGCTTCAGAGTTGGATGGGGTCTATGCATTTGTGGGGGTGGCCATAAAAACCCCAGACACAAAAAAGGGGGCATGATGAGTGTGAGAACCACTGTCCTAGAGAGGTAAGTGTGGGGGATCGCAGCTCTAAATTTTTGACTTAGTCGCTTACTTCCCTTTTTAGGAGTAATGAGATCTGCTCACGCTCTTACCTGCTATAGTAAAAAGGGATTGGTTCTTTGTGTTACTTGTTTACAGATCAGTGCGAAGTATGGCCCGGTTTTCACACTAAGCTTTGGCTCGGAGCGGATTGTGATACTGTGTGGGCACAAGGCTGTGAAGGAAGCTCTAATAGATCAAGGGGAGGATTTCAGTGGAAGAGGAAAACTGCCACTAGCAGACGTGGTGATCAAAGGAACAGGTACGTGTCTAGGTGCTGCGGCATGTCGCTCGGCTGTTCTCTGGTATGGAGATGATGATCGAGAAGACAGCTGGTCCTCCATTTAGTCCTGGTCTTTGAAGGAGTCTAACTTTAGACCCCTCTGTACGTCTCAGTGTATTTCAGATTTTTTACATGGTCCCGCTCTAGTTGCTGTGACCATTTACGCTGTGCCAGAGAACAAAATGTGGTCATAGGGCATGACCGCTAATGGGATTGTTTGCCAGTTCATAATTGCTATTAATAGCAAAGAGATCGAGGTGCAGGGTTTTGCTGCAAATACATATCAGCGTCAGGTAGGATCTCTAGCAGAACATCAATGCAACCATGTCTGAGTTCATGCTGAATCTTTCAATGACCACTCTTTCCTTAGGTTAGAAAATTGGGGCAATTGAGTCTGTCCCGTTCCTCCTCCCACCTCATTCCTGTCTCCTCCTGTTTCCAGGCATTGTTTTCAGCAACGGGGAGCAGTGGAAGCACCTTCGCCGATTTGCCCTCACCACCCTGAGAAATTTTGGGATGGGGAAGAAGAGCATTGAGATGCGAATCCAAGAGGAAGCCCGTTTTCTAGTGGAAAGGCTCAGAAACACGCTCGGTGGGGATTCGCAGAGTCAGCTAAAGACTTTTGTTTTTCTCTGTCTGGGATATTGACTTTGGTTCAGCCATCTTGTAACTCCAGCCATTAGTGGTACATATGTCACCATGGGCTTTTCCTATCCTCTCAGACCCTCCGTCCACCAGGGGCCTTTTCTATCCGCCCAAAATGCCCCTAGTGCCAGGGAGCTTTTATTCTCCTACCTCCCCCGCTCCCCCCCCCCCGAATATTAGATACCACCTTTTTGTCCTGGGGCCACAAGATCCAGAACTTCCCAGTGGCTGTGCGGCTCATGGTGAATATACTGAATTAAACACTGAACTCTGGTTTTCTTTTGCTCCAGGGCAGCCCTTTGACCCTACCATCTGCCTCACGCACACCGTCTCCAATGTCATCTGCTCTATCGTCTTTGGGGATCGGTTTGGAATATTAGATACCACCTTTTTGTCCTGGGGCCACAAGATCCAGAACTTCCCAGTGGCTGTGCGGCTCATGGTGAATATACTGAATTAAACACTGAACTCTGGTTTTCTTTTGCTCCAGGGCAGCCCTTTGACCCTACCATCTGCCTCACGCACACCGTCTCCAATGTCATCTGCTCTATCGTCTTTGGGGATCGGTTTGACTATGAAGATCAGAAATTTCTGACTTTAATTAATCTCCTAGAGGAAAACAATGATCTCTTCAGGTCTGTTCTGGTACAGGTGTGTTCAGGAGTTTCTTCCGCTCTTCTTCTTTGTAACTAGGGAAGGGGGAGAGATTTTTTTTTTCTTTTACTGTTCATTTTCCTTAAATGATTGTTATCTCCGTTTTCCATAATGTTCCTGTTCTTGTTCGGCTGCCTACCAAACCCAGCCTCAAACTTGTTTCTTGGTATTATTTAAATTCCCACAAAAACAATTCATTGGCTCTGAATTACGTTTGCTCAAGGACGCCCTGTTCCAGCACAATTGGTAAAAATCCAGGAAATTGCCAATTAAAAGATGAGAGTCCAGACAATTACAGTTCATTTAGATTCACAATGGGCTACCTGAATATGCTCGTATTCCCCACCTGCAATGCAAACGCCTTTTCATTTTCGAGACACAGCTACCCAGCACCTACATTGCAGAAAACCTCACAAATGCATGACCCTGTGTAAATGATCTGCTGGCATAACTCAGTCAAAATCACTGGTCATCTAGTCCAGACCATGCCCAAGCATGGGGATGTCTTTGTGTTGGAAGTAACAGTTTATTTGAATGGCTAAATCCAAACAAGGTTGCAGTTTATTGGAGGAAATACGTGTGTATGGAATAGAATGAGTCAGTGATGCTTGCAAAGTTCTTCAGGCTACTCTTGGGCATGAAGATAGCACAGAACTATTTTATTGTTGTGTCATCATTGAGTCGGTTGGGTAAACACAGTGATTATTTGTTGTGTACAGATCAGTCAAGAGGTGTTTTTCCTTCCATCATTATAGGTGTACAATTTTTTCCCAACTTTCATGTCTTACCTTCCGGGCCCTCACAAGAAGATACTTAAAAATTCTCAGGAGCTCATTAGTTTTGTTCGAGAGATAATTAAGATGCACAAGGAGTCTCTGGATCCCAGCTGCCCTCGGGACTTCATCGATGCATTCCTCATCAAAATGGAAGAGGTATGTGAGGGCAGCAATTGTGGGATGGACTCTGCCTATCCTGGATATTTCTCTCTCTGAAAGAAGACCTGCTTTGTGAACCCGGGATGTACGTTCTAATAGCCCCAACCTGCTTATCTCGTTTGTGTGAGCAATGCTGGTGGGAATACCCCAGAGGGTAAGACAGGCCAATATCTTGATCCATAACTAACACCAATTCTTCCTTCTCTCATCGATGAGACGCTCCTTCTTTGTGATGTCACAAAGCCCTCACAGCTGTTCAGTATGAATCATAGAATCCTAGAACACTGGAATTGGAAGGGACCTT